GAGTCTGACTCCGGGTGGGCAAGAGCAGGAAGAGAAGACTCAGGAGGAGAAGGCAAAGTGGCACGCAGAGTAGTAGTGGACGGACGCATAGACATCCGGTGCGTGCCAGGGACAGGAGGAGGACGCTGACGCGAACCGCGACCACTAGTGCGAGCAGCACGGACAGGCGACGGAGGGCGAGACGCAGGCTCACGACGCTCAGCAAGACCTCCAGTAGGACCAGTGTCGGGAGACGGAGTAGGCAGTGGGGAGGCTGGCTGTAACTGTAACTGCGACGGGACAGGCTGTCGACACACTATAGGAGGAGGACCGGTAGAAGACGGGAGACCAAGAACCTGCTGAAGGAGTGGAACGAAGTACGGCCGAGGCCGCGCGGCGACTCCAGACACAGCAGGGACAGCACCAGCACCCCCAGTGGCAGCACCAGCACCAGTAGCAGCTCCAGCTCCAGTACCTCCAGCAGCACCAGTAGTACCCCCAACAGGACCGCCTCCAGGACCGACAGCAGTAGCCTCCGCGCCAACACCCGCAGCAGCTCCACCTCCAGAAGTACCCGCAGGTCCAGCAGCTCTAGTACTCCTAGTACGAGCACCTCCGGGACCCATGGCACCAGCTCCCTCAGCAGCAACAAAACCTCCTGTACCCGCAGCACCTCACGCTCCAGCAGCTCTCCTCCAGTGCCGGGCAAACCACTCACGCAGCTCCTGTGGATAGAGTGGCTCCCGGCGAGAAGAAGCACTCAGAGAACCGCCAGGCACAGCACCTGCAGGCCTAGCTCCCTCAGGCTCAGCACCCCCAGGCTCAGCACCTCCAGGCGTAGCACCCCCAGGCTCAGCACCCCCAGGCTCAGCACCCCTAGGCGTAGCACCCCCAGGCTCAGCACCCCCAGACTCAGCACCCCCAGGCTCAGCACCCCCAGTTGTAGTACCCTCAGGCTCAGCACCCCCAGGCGTAGCACCCACACGCTCAGCACCCCCAGAGTCAGCACCCCCAGGCTCAGCACCCTCAGCAACACCAGAGTCACCAACGACCTCCACAGGCTCAACAGTGTCTACCTGGGACACACCTGAAGGGGCACGACCCTGAGGGGGGAGGGGGTCTACCGGGGGGGGACCTGGCACAAGGAAGAGCGGTGGCGGGGGGAGGGACGGAGTGCGGTAGGGGAAGAGATGGTAGTAGGGGACCGACTCGTCGAACGTTACATCCTATGAGGACAGAACACGGCGAGAGGAGGGGTGGTAGAACTGCCACCCTGGCGCGTCAGCGGGGAAACCCAAGAAGACGCAAGGAGCAGCACGAGGGGACAGCTTGTCCGCAGACAAGTCGCGGACAAACGCCCGAGATGCCCAGACACGGAACGCAGACGCATCGCCAACACCTGACCCGACGCAGCTACCTGAGCAGACGCAGGTACTGGAGGAGATGCAGTGGTCAGTGTGTACAGGCTGACGGAGGAAGCTGACGCACTAGCACCTAGAGCAGCAGCCTCGCTAGCACCAAGAGCAGCAGCCTCACCAGCACCTAGAGCAGCAGTCTCAATGCCCGGGTCGGGCGGGAAACACCGGTAACAGTCACCCTCCTCACTAATAGACACAGTCTACATTGCAGCAAGAATAGCATCAAACTCAAGGTCAAAGATAGCTATCCCTGCCCTAGACAGCTCGCCCCAACGAGGGATCTCAGTGGCCTCAGGGAAATGGTGACACCAAGCGTCCGTCAAGCGGCCAAAGCAGCGATGGGTGGGGTGCGCACCCCCAGACTGCTCACCCGCACGGTCGCCGGTGCGCAGGACGTAGGTGCACGGACCAGTACCCCCACCCCGCTGGCGTGCAGCGTACCACTTACGGAGCTGCTGAGGGGACAGGGTCTCCTGACTGCGCTGCTGCTGCTAGCGCTGACCACCACCGGAGCCACTCCTCTGCGAAGAGCCACGACCTCCTCCTCCTCCTCCTCCGCCACCGCCTCCTCCACCTCCGCCACCTCCACCACCTCCGCTCCCACCGCCACCGCCGCCGCCGCCTCCGCCTCCACTGCCGCCACCGACACCTCCACCCCCGCCACCACTCCCACCACCACCCCCACCCCCTCCACTGCCTCCACCGCCGCCTCCACCGCCCCCGCTAGCTCCTCCAGTGCCTCTGCCCCTCTTGCCCTTGCCAGAGTGATGCTTCCCACTAGGGATAGACGCCGCACCGACCGACTCCATACCAACGAGGTCGGCCGCAGCAACAGAGGCAACATAGGGCAAAAGAGGGGAGGAGGAACACCCCTCAAAGATGGGGGTGCGAGGGTCACCACGAGAGGCTCCTACAGCTACTATGCTCTTCTCCGCTGCTAGGAGGGCCTACTCGAGGAGGTCAATGGTGAGAGTGGTGGGGCAAACTGAGAGGAAGTGGTCCCTGACTACGCGAAGGGAGTCAGGGAGACGGGTGACTATGTAGTAGAGGGTGATGTACATGGGGGGGGGGGGGTTCTTCGCGCAAAACTTAGCAGGAAGCGCAGCGCGGTAGCGAGTGTCACTAGTGCGAAGGTGCGTAATGAGGTCAGCGACTGTGGGAAAGGCAGCAAGGTCAGGGAAGAGGTACGGTAGCATGAGGCGGCTCAGTGCAGTAGTGGCAGGGGAGGAGTAGCGTGCAACTACAGCGTCGTACATGGTCTGAGCACTCTTGTACTGGCTAAAGTGCGCACGCTGAGAGGTAGGCAGGTGGCGACGCACAGCAAGACGTGCAGCACCATCGTGCGTGGCCCACTGTGAGCGAACAGTGGCGTCAGCATCAGCAGCGGGGGTAGGAGAGGCACCAGAAGTGAGGTCAAAGAGGGAGAGGCCGTCTGCCCTATCGCACCGTAAGAAAAGCTGCAGTTCATCTATCCAGACGTCAAAGTCAATGGCCCGACCCTCACCGTCAAAAGCGAGGACACTAGGGGTAGCCATGACAGCAGTAGACTAGCAACACAAACTGTAGGGTGAGGGCAGTGCTGTGAAAGAGGCGCTGCTCTTACCGGACAGGGCGGCTCGGGCGGCTCGGCTGCAGTGCGACTCGACGGCTCGGCAGCTGGGCGGCTCGGCGGCTTGGCTGCTGGGCGCCTTGGCGGCTCGGCTGCTGGGCGGCTCGGCGGCTCGGCTGCTGGGCGGCTCGGCGGCTCGGCTGCTCTGCTGCTGGGCGGCTCGGCTGCTGGGTGGCTTGGCGGCTGGGCGGCTCGGCTGCTGGGCGGCTCGGCGGCTGGGCGGCTCGGCTGCTGGGCGGCTTGGCTGCTAGGAGGCTCGGCTGCTGGGCGGCTCGGCTGCTGGGCGGCTCGACGGGGCCGCTGAGAGGGCGGCGTTCGGGGCCGCTGGGAGGAGGCGGCGGGGCCGCTGAGAGGAGGCGGCGGGGCCGCAAAGGTAGGTGGCGGGGCCGCAGGTAGGTGGCGGGGCCGCTGATAGGTGGCGGGGTACAAGTACTAGCCCTAATTGGGTTGAACCCCTTATGGGCTACCCCACTATAGCCAACACAATATGCATGAGGTATAATGTTATGACACAATGATCCTAACAGCTGGTATCAGAGCTTGGAGAACGGGTTTGCACTACTCGTCGTGGAGAACGGGCGTGCACTACTCGTAGCTAAGGGCGTATTCTGGGGCTCGTGTCATCCCGTGTTTGTGTCTTCCGAGATTGTGGGATGACACAAGCTGCAATACAACCGCTCGAGTCAACGACTCGACCTGGCGCGCGATTTGGGGGGTCACATTTTGCGAGAGAAACCCTAACTCGCCCAATTCGCCGATCATACCATTGGTCAGCCAAGAACGCTGGCCATGAGATGCGAATATTGTGCCCGACAGTGCAAACGGTCGCACAAGAGCACATTGACTGACAAACGTCAATGTCGGAAATTCGGGCGCATCAATTTTCCACATCGTTTTCTCCCGCCACTGCTGAATTCTTGCACTCTCTTCCTAGCAAACAAACACCTCACAAGGTGGTCGCTCAGATTTTGTGTTGCTTCTCGACCTTTCTACCTGCAGACATTCCCGCCACTGCTGCTCTTCTGCATTCTTTCTCATCACACAACCACTTCACATTTGTGGCGGATCTGACGATTCAGGGATTCATGGCTCTAGAATTAGAAGAAACTTCCGCCACTACTGCACCACCGCTTTGTCCCATGTCTAGCGACCACGAAAAATGGCACGTATCTTGAGATCCGTTCGTTCTCCTAAACTTGAGCAGAGTTGTAGATCTCGCAAGGACTTCTCCTCCAGGCGAGCAGAAATGTAGATCGCGCCACGACACCAGCACCAAGACTACTATAAACACAACCGTCAAAAGCCATACCATCATATCACTCTCTCTACAACAGTCTCATCCACTCGTTGCTCAGTCTCCCTTTCCCACTCCGGCCAGTTTACCATGGCTCCTAAGCGTAGACTCAGCAAAGCTTCTAAGAAGGGTATGGCATATGGCAGTGACGCTCCCGTGGTGGACCCTCCGTATGTTGCCTGGATGAAGAAGCGCCAGGAGGAAGGAGATCGGCGGGGACGCCTTCGCAGCGAGTGTGCTGAGGCTCGTGATGGGGAACCCTTCGGCGACCCGGAAAATCAGCCAAGCAAGGCTCCGGCTGAGGACAATGAAGCCTCCTCGTCTTCTGATCCGGAGGAGTTCGACGCGTTTGAAAGTAGCGACAGCGAGGCGGATTCCGATGCTTCGCTCGACACACCAGAAAACGATTTCGATGGAGCCAACGAGGACAAAGAAATCGCGGGCGAAGGACCTGCCTGCGGATGACATCGGAACCTCCGCCCAGAAGCGTGGAGGGGAGCGTCCTAAGAAGAAACGCAAGGTTTGGTCAGAACTCGAGATGACAGAGATGGCCGCCGCTCGTTGGTTCACGCGTGAAGATTTGAAGGCAATGCAAGGGAAACAGGGGGCACAGTATTAAAAGAAGCTCCGTAGGCACATCCGCAAGGCAAACAAGAATTGGGTTTGCAAATCGGAGGCCATGAAGCAGCAGTGGAAGCGGATGGAGCGCGAATTCAAGGAGATCAACGATGCTTTGAACGTGTCAGGCAACGCCAACATCGTCAGGCCGCCGTGGTTTACCTATGTGGAAGATCTGAGGGCGGGATCTGCTGCCGTTGACCCCCATGTTGTGGATGGCGGTGGTGCCGCCGAGGACCATGCTGATCCTAACGCGACCATGGAGCCTCCATCCACTGCGACAGCTACTCAGCAAGTGCCCGTGGTTCAAGGTGAGCTAGTAGGGGTAAGTTTCTTTATCTGCACATGATACAACAATTTAGTTCGCTTTTGTCTCATGTTTTGTGCTTAAATGCTTCCTTGATGCATTCCAACATTGAAGATATCCTACATTCTCCAAGTACCATTAGTCGCTTTGACACTGATTCCATCAATCCCGAAACAGCAAAAGAACCATGCTAAGATTTGGACCATCTAAAATCCCATGCCTAAGGTTCCTCTGTGCTTGTCACCCTTTTACCTACAGCCCCACTCCCCCCTACTCAGGAGCAGAATCCGTAGCCGATTCGTAGCAAGCGCGTGGCAGAAAGTGTGACCATGACTGGGGCGAAGCTCATCGCGGACACCCTGAAGGCATGTAACCAGGAAGGCCTTGCTAAGCTGGACCAGATTACTGCTCTCATCATGAATGCTGTGGCGGCGGCTTCAGCGGCTCCAGAGGCGGCATCGGCAAATGTAGGACAGGCTGACCCTACCACTCCCACTGTGACCCTAGACCATGGTGATCCGACCAGCCTGGAAACCTGTAACATGGATTACACCTACACCCCAAGCTCGGAAGAGACCGCCGCTCCTACCGACATGGGTCCCACTAACGGCGAGGCCACTGAGTTCCAGCAGTAGCAGCACGGTTGCGTCGCAGGTAAGCTCTCATAATCCACTTCCCGAAATACTTGCGGCGCCGCTGAAGCTCCTTTGTTGTTGCCCTCCTTAGCAACGGCCAGTGAAACCTACTCATCCCTCCCCTTATCCACCAACCAGCCCCCCCCCCCTTCGTGCATGCCACGTGCTAACTTCTTACTGCGCAGGCACAGCTGCATCATCTTCTGCACCATATTATGGAGTATGATGATGCAACCTGTTCCTGCACAAACCCTCCAGAGACGGCAGTCGTGTCTTCGCGCAAACAATCGCCAACGCCCCTTAAGGGCCCCAATGCATCTCTCCACCGGCATCCTCGTAGCAGATTGAACGTAGTTGAACAGTTGCTCCCATCTCTTGAACAGTCGTCGCCTAGGAGCATGTAGGGGGGTGAGGCAGTATGCTCGTAGCGGATAGGCAGCATCTCCAACCAATTGGTACTCCTGTATGTCTCCTTTCTCTAGTTGACCATACAGCTTGCATTTCATAAACACTCTGTAATCGTGAGCTGCGCCCGGATAGCCGACCATATAATCCCATATGACACCTTTAGCGTCACAGGTCACCTGAAGTTGGACTGAATAGTGTGACTTCTTGTTGTAGCATTCAGTGCGATGATTCTCCATTCCCCGCACTTGGATATGAGTGCCGTCCACCGCTCCAACCACGTTGGGCACACCTTTAATGTTCCGGAACTCCTCTGCCATCACCGGTAGCTCCTCTGGCGTGGGGAAACGTACCCACTCGGATTTGAAATGGCGTGGGAAGTGAATGAGGAAGGTGTCCACCAATCTATGGCACATTGTTTTTGACACACACAAAAAAATGGACATGTCAGAGTAGGATAATGCTGACGCGAAGTACTTAATAGGGATCAGGATGCACAAGCGTAGGGGGACATTGTGCTGAAGAACAAAAAGGGCATAAACCGCCTCCATTCTCCCTTCAATCATGAGGGGAATGTTCTTGTTGATTCGGAATATGTCTTGAAATTCCGCATCTGACATGATGTTGATGTCGGAGATCCATTCTGCCATGCGGTCCTGACGCCGGCGTTTGCGAAGGCGGAGCCTCTCAATGCGACGGTCAGCAGTTTCGTTGTCGCCTGCACATTCTTCCTCCACCAGTGACAGCCATGACTGAGATGCAGCTGCTGCTGCAGGCATGAAACTGTCATAGTAATAAGTGTGCTAGAGCTGAATAACACAGGCTAGGATGGTTAGATGCTGAGGAGATAGCATTTTGACAAGAAGGAATAACTTTTGAAGTCTATGTTTTGGTACTACTTGCTATACTATTTTTATAGCTAGCATCCAAACTGGCTTGAAAGGTGGAAGTTTTCCACCGAGAGAATCAAGATTCTAGACTTGCAAGGTGTGGCTTGGTTGTGTAGGCTATTCGTGCATGAGGGGCTGCGTTTCGAGTGCACGATCTGACGGCCAAATTGGCCGCGGTGTCGACTCGGTCGCACGTGCGATGAACAATGTTCTCTGCTGGGGCGAACGTGGTTTCGCGCAGCTGCCGTGTGATTTTTGTGACACGCCGAATCGGATGACCAGAAGTCGAGTCGGAAAACCCGCGGTTCGGAAAAAATAATCGGGATGACACGAAGCTCGGATGACACGAGCTCAAGAATACGCCCTAAGTGGAAGAAGAAGAGCAACTTCAAGCATACGCCATGGGGGACGAGGCGAGTTCGGGTTCCAACGTGAGTATTAGAGACCCGCAAATGAAGGCTCTTCTTGAGGCACTTGCAAGTGTCCGCGTGGTGACGAAATCGACGATCGGGCTCAGTGAAGCCCAGCACTTCAACGAAAGCAACTACAACGTGTGGAGGAAGAAGTTCATCCGACGGGCAAAGGGGGTTGAGCTCTTACCGTTCAGGGTTGCACCTGATGAGGAGACAAAGGAGGGAGTTGCACCTCCCATGACGGCGTCACCGGAGAAGTTGGCGTTGGTTAAGAAGCAAAGCAAGTAAGTGTTCCTTCAACTTTGACATTCGGTTGAAATGGCCCAATTTGCAGGGGAGCTGAATTCGGCACAACGAGCGTGGAGTACTTGGAGTCTACCTACATTGGCACCAATGATACCAACAAGAAGGCAGTGAGGAACAAACTGCTGATGCTGAGCATGGAGAAGGGTGAGAAGATTATCACCTACATCAACAGGGCAAAAGGCTACAGTGAAGCAACATACACAGGCCTTCGTCCAACTGCTAGTCCTTCTTTTGAGTCGACTCTGAAGTCACCATGCAGCTACAGTGAAGCAGCATACTCAGGCCTTCATCCCACTGCTAGTCCTTCTGCGGTGCCAGCGGGGTTACATTCTCTTTCTGCTGCTCGCACAGCTGACTCAAGTGTTCCGACCAATGGGCTTGGTGTTTATCAGCAATGGCGCTGTTGTGACCACTACTGAAGCTGATGTCTTTCTTAGGACTGATGTTATTTCTAACCCTGAGTTAACCATTCCTTGGGGTTGCGCCCCTTGTGCCAGTTCTGGTATCCACCGGCCTGCCATGCATGAACCAGCTTTTCAAAGCAATGCTTCAATGCTTCCACCAGATAATTGTGTTGCCACGTCAGCTCCCAGCGGTGCTGACGTATCAGCATGTGGTGGCGTCGCCACATCGGGGTGTGAAACTACTGCCTTTGAGCTGCAGACAGCATCGTGCATGCAGATGCCTGGTGTTGAACTCAGGGATTGTCATCTCCATCACACGTCCCACTCCTAGCAGAATTTGCTGCAAAGTAATCAGCCACAGCAACAGCTTGTGCAAATTGCAGCAACAAGAGTTGTGAGAACAACAGCAGCAAGATCTGCACCCACAGTAACAGTTGTGATGCTAAGGAGCCTAGCACCAGCCATAATGGTCTGTTGCGTGTTAAACGTAACAATTTTTCCAACGCTTTGACGGTGGATCAGAGTCGTTGTGTTTGGTCAGCTACGTGGAGGCCGACGACGTTGGCGACAAGCAGAACCGAACAAGCACAGCGGCTATGTTTTCATCTTCGGAAGGGCCGCAATCTCCTGGTTGAGCCAGCGCATAGAGTGCGTGACGCTCTCGTCGAACGCGTCGGGGTAAATCGCGGCCACGGAAGTCGGCAAGGAGGCTGGTCGACTTCGCTTCCTCCTTGCAGAGTTCCAGCTGCTCGACGCTGGGACGTTGACTGTCCTTCGTGTAGACAACCACTCGGCCATCACGGACGCTGAGTGCTTGGGTTTGAAGGGTAACCTACATATTGAGCGATGCTACACCTGGCTACAGCAGATGGTGAAGCGAGGGACATCCCGACCAACGAGCAGCCGACCGACTTCCTGACGAGGGCATTGCACTTTCTGGCCTTCAACCAGTGCTCCGTCACGATCGGCCAAGTTCGTCTGGTTGAAGTCGGCGACGACAACGACGACGCTCAGAAGTAGGCACCATGTCTTTCAACATGGCTGGTGCGGTGAGATGATGCGCGACGACGAATGCGCTGACAAAGTTCATTTTGTCACCATATACTCTACGATAGCTAGTTTCCTTTTGCAGATTGTGAACCTCCTTCATGTCCATGAGCTAGCAGGGCAGGGAAGTGTTAAGAAGAGCCCTCCGTGCGTAGGGCCAAGGACCTCTTGTACGAAGTGAAGGGCTGCCTGTGCACGGGGTGTACGAGGGAACCCGTGCACGATCAACTGTAGCATCTGCAGATGCAACGGAAACATCTCGTGCACAGGTTCAAGGGGCGCAGTTGGTGCAGAGGTTCGTGAGAATTCATCTTCGCAGGGCCATGGCAACCCCTACGCACCCACACGGACGCACGATTTAGTTTCGGCGAGAAATTCAATGTGCGCAAATTGCGACCAATGAGGGCGCAGAAATTTTGACCATTAATATCCTGTCAGAACTTGTACCCCCTGGAGAAAATGAACCAGCAGCAAAAAGAGAACCTGCTACACATTTTTTTAACCACAAAAACGTGCACACATGTGCATGGTGTACAACCTGGGCAACTACTTATTTAGGTGAGAAATACATGGGCTTGTTTTATTTTCACCTGTTATTGCTAGGTCAAGGCACATGTTTGGTAGTTAGTTAAACGTTCCTCTTGGAACTTTTATGCAGGGTTTCTTTGCTCTAATATATTTGTCGAATCTTGCTTGTACTGAACTTGTTCAATAATTTTCTTACAGAAACTTGTGCTAGTTCTGGCGACCTCCAACCTGCCATGCATGAACCAGTTATTCAAAGCGATGCTTGGATGGGACCGCCAGGTTCTGATCTCGCCGCATTGAGGATGCAGGTGCCGAGCGTGGAATTCAAATATTCTCGTTTGTTGCACATGTCCCACACCCAGCAGCATTTGCAGCGCTGTCAGCCACAACAATAACACCTTCCACAAGCTGTTCTGGTCAAAGCAGCAGTTTACATTGTGGATGGTGATGGGGGTATAAAAAACCGCAGGAATAGCAGCAGTTGGAGCTGCACCTACAGCAGCATGATTGATTTTGTGGAACGTGGACTAGTTTCTTGGGTGTTACTTGTAACGCTTATGCCAACGCCTTGACGTACAATCGAATGGATGGATGTAAGAGCAACACCATCAGTGGTAGAAGCATGAGCAGTCCGGGTTGCTCTGTGGAAGGATTTGTGGAGATTTCTAGTTTTCGGGAGATGGGGGCACAAAAATGTGGGCACGGGGGTCTCGTCACGAAATATGTGTCAGATATATATGACATAGCTATTGTAGGCTATAGTGGGGTAGCACATATGGGGTACAGCTTTCTAGGGTTTGTATTTGTACCCAACTTTCACTTAGTCATCCCCATTCTCGTTCAACTTTTCTCATGGTATCGAGCAGGTTCCCCTGTGGGAACTGCGCCTAGGGCCCACCACTTCGACTTTTTTTTACTACCCGAAGCGCGCTCATCCCGAGTTGCGCCTCGGGCTGTTGACTCGACGAGCCGCCCTAGCGGCCTTCCCTCCCCTAGCGGCCCTGCCG